ATACTCTCCGTCACCTTGTGATGGACAATAAACGGGAGTTGAAGCTATAGCAGATTACGAATGTTCACATAGAAATATAAATACTAAAATACTAATGATTTTCTTTTATTGAGGTTGTAGTGATTTTAACACATTTTTATTTGGTCCCACCTCTTAAATATGCCCCATATTGAAATAATGCCTGATGTAATCAAAATAAATTATGCACATAATATAATCTTAACGAGTATATAGGGCCAAACTCACTGCTAAAGTTTATAAAAGCAAWAGGTAGGTACATGAAAAAGCATAAGTGCATAATATAACAATGTTATTTACACGTGATGCAATTTTATATTAGTCATATTTAGGGCAAAGGACTTGTAGCTCTTAAAAAAGCTCTAAATATATACAAGCACTTATGCACTTTAAAACATCATAATATGCACTTTAAAATTTTTTTAACACGAATGTACATTCCGCAGAACTGACCGAGACTATATACTAAAATATTGACTATTGTCATGTCTAGAAATGTTTTATAAATAAATCCTAATCGAATAAAAGCCCGCGTGATGCACACAAAGCTATGGTGGTGATGTCGTAGGCATAGTATATGACTTTAGATTGTTATTATCACTTCTACGAAAAATGTGTACCCGTGGAGGCGTGGACAGTCAAAACCCATATTGTTCGACAAAARTTAAAAATAAATACATTTTTATTCAAAMATTTTGACTGTATTGTTTGAAATAAAAATGTCACAGTGGAAAAAATCGATTTAAGTTAAATATGCCTAATAAAGCATAAAAATAGCGTATAAAAGTGTAAAATATGCCTTAAAAACGCAAAATGTGCATTTATATGCACAATAAAATTTCAAAACTAGCTTTGTGAAAGCATGAAATGTATTAGTATCGTACTCTGCTATTTTTGTAATTGTGTAAAGCAAATACGAGTATGCAAATGCTTCAAGTCCTCTGCCCTATTATTATCAAACTTTAACAAGAATAAAATATATTGGAAACATAATATTTACACATGCTTTAGGTATACGTCGCTATATTACAAGAAATATTACTACATTAGTTTCATAAAAAGTTTTTTTTTAATTGGTCTGAAAAAAGTCTTGTCGGCATATTTTTATTGAATTAAATTGATTTTACAATATAATACCTACCACCTTATGGCATTGATTATGGTGACGGTAACGAGTAACATTAGTAAAATTTACATAAAATCATATAATAAATATTATTGTATAATATGAAAAAATGAAAATTTAAACTTCTTATAAATAGTTAAAAAATATTTTAAAAATCATATTATGTGTGGAAAATGTTTTTTTGGTGAATATCATGTTCCTACCCATTATTTCGTTATTGAATTACAAAAAAAAAATAACTGAATCAATTATTTTGAAAATCAGCATTGAATAAAAATGCTCGTTGTTTTTTCCCAACTAATGAGAAAAGTACCGAGAATTTTCATAAAAAAAAACACTTTTTGAATCTCTAATACAATATTATTATGGTTGTTTTAAGGGGATTCGATATCGTGATTTTTTGTTTTTATCTAACATACGCGTGACATAGGATCTTAGGCGCGAGTTCTTTACTTCTTTATCAAACGTATACCAATTGATCTAATAAAGTGTTAAGAATTCTTAAAATGAATTTGAACTCTCTGTCAAAAATTCTTTAGATTGGCAATCCAACATTTTTAATATTATCCCCTTCCCCAAATCCCGAAAACCGTGAGATATTAAAAAATAATAGTTAAGAGGACGCTACACCGGCATGTGTTGTCTCCGCCTTACAAACGCAGAACATAACAAAAACTGTAAAGACCTAACCGTCTTTATTTTTTTGATAACATAAATAAAATTTAAGATATTAGCTTAAATAAAAAATTCGTTTTTATTTTTTCATTTAATTATTAAAAATTATTGGTTTGTGCCGTCAAAAAAATAACGACGCTATGACACAGATAAAGTTCCTATCTAGGTGTTTTGGAATTTTGATAATTCTACTATAAATACTGAGGGAGAACCGGGAGTTGTCCCGCGTAAGTACAGTTTTTGCCATGTTCTGCGTTTGTGAGACGGAGACAACGCTTGTGGGTGTGACGTCCTCTTAAAAACAGTCATAATTCAATTCTTGGAGGAGTTAAGATCAAAAAAAAACTAAAATGTGGGAAAGTCGATCGCAAGTAGACTAGACGACAAATTCAAATCTGTTTTCAAAATTATTATCGCATCGCCGGGTCGATCGGTTAGGTTTGGCCAAATACGGGTCGTCTAAATTCCCATGTCACGCGTGTGTTCGACGAAGACAGACAATCGCGATATCGAATTACCCCACTCCACTAAAACAGTCTTATTTGTTATAGTCAATTCAACAAYAACGTTTGGTTGATTTAACTAAACGCAAATGGTTACGTTGACGATTTCACGTAAAACATAGGGGAATTTATACCAGGAGTGCATGCGACGAACGCGTTGGATGTTGAACTGCTGCGGCGCCAACGCCAAGTCGCGGTCTCGAGTGTCGGTCTGTCGGCAACGATTTCGACAAAGACTCGGTCTTCCTGGGACCCTGGTACTGTCGACGCGGTTTCCGCGACGTCGGTTCACGCACGGTGCTAACGTCGCGGGTCACGCACGGTCGAACCCGCGTTATTACATTTCAATTGACATAATAAATAATATTATGTTATTGTTGTTAATTTTTGTGATTTTACATGATTTTACATATTTTGAGAGACTAGGAAAATGATGAACCGATTTCGTGACGGATTTACATCAGTTCTTAATCACACTCATAGAGCGAGCCACTGAATCTTTTGAAACATATAAATGTCTACGGTTTGAAAGAACTGGTTTCTAAGCTTCGAATGCCCACCACGTGAGCGCTGTAAGTATGCCCAATGCTCAAACCATACATTGCAAAAACCGTTTCGCGCGGGAAAGAAGGAAAGAACCGAGAAGGCTACAGTTATAAACTTATAACTAAGAAACGAAATTTTCACCACATAATAAGGAGAACATTTACTGTGCAACGTTGTTTTCAATTTTTCGATATCACAAATAGAAAAAAAGTTCTTATTGTTTCAAAATTCATTATTTTTGCGTTTTTCAAAATCGAATAACTTTTTTTTCAGTTCTAAAATCAAAAAAATCAAAACAACGTTGCACAGTCGAAATTCCCTTTTATCTGTGGTGAGAATTTCGTTTCTTAGGTATGAGTTTATGACTGTAGCCTTCTCGGTTCTTTCCCGCGCGAAACAGTTTTTGCAATGTTACGTACTTGTAAGACGGAGACAACACACGCGGGTGTAGCGTCCTCTTATACTCCCCAAGTTAACGGATGTTTACACTCCTCAAACAACGTTTTAAAGTGTTAAATAAAAATAATATTAAATATTTTCTTCTGCCGCTTTTGGAGCAGAGTAAATACTTCTTATGGATTTTCTGCACTATTTATAGGTATTTTATTTCATTTGTGTAAGTACCAAGTACTAAGTACCTATGATTTTTTCTGCGTAAAATTTTTTTAATATTTAAAGGTATTTGAGATATTGAAACGAACAATAGCAATTATAGATATTTTGGTGTAGATATAAATTTTATATATGTAGGTAAACAATGACATTTTCAAAACTCCATTTAGATTAATTTTAAGCTATTGCCTATTTATACCGTATTACCGACTACCGTACCAATCGTACCATATTCAATATTGACTCAAATATTATAATGTAGCCAACGTAGACAGACATTAATATAATATCAGTCTGTAGATATTTTATAGTAATATAGAGATAAGAGTGCTTAGCTGGTATTATCAACTTCAAATAATGTTCATGTTTATGTTTCCAAAATTTCTATTTGCAAAATAAAAAAAAACTAAAATGAGAAAATTCACAGTTCAAGCACCCTTAGGCCTTAGTATTTTAAATTTTGATTGAAATTGCGCCTAGGACTGTTGTAATAAATAATGCTGTTTTCTCAAAATTTAACCTATAGTAAAATAAAATTACCATAATAATAAATTAATACCCATATAATATAAAATATACTTGTTAATTAGGGTTATAAACAGTCCGCCATCGGCCCATTGAACAAATTAGTTTTTCGTATAATATACATTATACATATACATTTGTCATTTTTTATTATTGCTGCATCACTTGACTTCATACGGAAGAGAAATAACTACTCTATCATAACTTTTGACCCTTCAAAAAAGAATTGATTAGGTCCAATTTCTATCAGAACTTGCAGCTAAGTCGATAATATAAGTTTTACTCAAAAAACACGCATAATATACTACGTTCTCTACTCGAAATCTAAGATACCTTTCTATTAGAAAAATTTTGTCTACGTCGAGTAATATAGTAATTAAGTAATAATGACTGCATGCAAAATACTTAAATGCATTTTTTTCATATTGGGTTGGCCGAGTTTCTCGAAGACGTTAACGATAAAAAATTAAAGCGCCAAAAGTATTGACATTTCTTGGCGTGAGCAAAACAAGCTAGATTTGAATAGGACAAGCTACGTAAATACAAAAAACAATCTATTTACATAAGTTTTAAATTTTATCAAGTCAGTATGATGTCCAGTCACTATTAGGCGGCCAAATAGGCGATGGCCTTACTTTGTTTGACTCGTGTAAGTAAAAGTAAAAGTAGAAGTAGTCGTTGTTGCTGACAACTCCGAATAGGAACCAGGGCCTAATGCGTAGTCCGTGTGGCCGCCGCGGTTGCGAATTGTGATCAGCGCTAGGCCCGGCCACCTGGTGTCGTCCCATGGGTCCCGAGTATGGATAGTCGCCCGTTGCTCTTCCGTATCGTATCGTTGCGGTWATGGAAATCATAGAATAGAATATTGGCGCTCTCTACAACACTCTGTGACGCCAGTGAGCGACACTACAACTACTGCTATAGTAGTCCGTCCCAGTTAGTTATCTAGGAAGCGTTATCAACAAAAATATTGATAACAATAAATTATTATTGTTAATCAAAACAATAAATATTAWATTATTTCGCTACGGCTACGGAGTGCCAAACTGCCAACGACTGGAATTCGAATTCGAATTTTTTTCAACGAAACACGACCCATGTTCAGCATGGCGACTTCAGACAACCAAAACGAGACCCAGTCCAGACTCTATTTCCTCAACGAACAGTTACAGAAAATGGTCAAAGAGTTACCCAGGTAAATCGGTAGATGATCGCGACACGTTGGTTAGCTGTTATCCAGTGGTTATTTGGGGGAGGACGCAGAGGGGCTGAGCTATTCTTCATTTTTCTTCAAATTATAGCGTACTCCTTTATTATATTCATCAAGGAATACGGTTACTATTAAATTAATTTGATTAATTGTTAAACTTCATTTAGTCTACCTTTATTTTTTTTCCAATTCAACCACTGCTGTTAGCAATTGTCATCACTAAATGGACGTTCTCGTTCCAGAAAGTACCAGCAGCGCATACCCAACGAGCTCCTCTGTGAACTCACTGAATGTCTATTGGACAAAACGCTGTATTCAATTGTAAAAGAACTGACCGATATTCAGCACGTTACAGAGAAACAAATGTTTCAAAAACGGTTAGAAATGATCAACAAACATTCCGGTGAGTATGTGATTGCTCCAGAGGTACACCGCAATGTGTAGACCTTAGCAATCAGTCGTGACCAACCACCTATGGCTACACAATTTTTAGTGAGCTTTTGTAAAAGTAATGCATATTGAGTAACAGTTCTGTTTAAGTTGTCATACAAAAACTACTGAAGTCAGATATGGTCGAGCCGGGCAAGACAGAGATGAGGCTGAAACTGCAAGCAGAGCACAGAAGAAACTTGAGAGAGTTTGATAAGAAGATAGTGACTGAACTTGATGAAAAGGTATTATTATCAAAAATGTTAATATGCAATTGAACCTTGTTAAACAAAATTAATGTGATAAACATAAGCCCACATAAAGAATACCAATGGTATTATTTGGTGTAAAAATCATGGGTATTAAGTATCATGATTAAAATTTTTAATTACATTACATGAKGCCTAATGATGTTTAGAGCAGTTGGTAAATTGTTTAGACTTGTCGATCATAATTATAATTTAATATAAATTTATCATAAATCTCACAATTTAATTTTGATGGAAATGTTTTAGAAATTTAACATATCAACCTTCTCTATTATAATTATCATCACTTAATCAGTCAATTAATATTGTTATGAACTAGTGATATTCATTAGTCAAGTACACCCTAATGCCTTTGAGTGCACCTTCAGAGCATTTATTTTATTATTTTTCGAATAATAACCTCCAAATTTTAATTAATATTTTCAACATGTTACGAATAGGGTTGCCACCTCTCCGGGTTTCACCCGGATACTCCGGTTTTACAAATAAATCTAAGGACTTTGGGTTCAGTGAATTATGCTTCGGGTTATCGTAAAATTAGTTCAAATATTGAAAATTAAAAAAAAAATTTAAGTACGATTAACTTAAAAACATATTTTATACTTTTCAACATCTAATAAAATATGTGATTAGATTAATTTTTTTTTCAAATTTTTATAGGTACCTCTTATTAATAATATTTAAATTTTTATCTGTTATACGCAGAGGTATATAATATAGTATAATTTTATTTACCTTTTTTTTTTGCTTATCAGTCTATTTTGTCTATGGGTCTATCATCTTTCAAAGGTGGCAACCTTAGTTATGAACCTTGTATGGTTTTTAGATTGTAAAAAGTTGTTATTCTAGATTAATTTATTTGCTTATATTAAACTTCAAATAATTACTTATCAATATTTCATATATAATTTTGTTTACAAATAAAATAAGCATACTTTTATCATGCACTTAATATATTTTCAGTATTTTCTTATAGAAAATTATGAAATATATTATTATTGTTTTGTATTTGATTAATTGAAATATTATTTTATTGATAGCSACGAGAGCAACAGAATACATTACATATGGCTGGTGTACCTGGATTTGATGTCACAGATGATGCTAGTCGTATCCAAGTACAAATACGTTTATGTGATTTCATCATAAGACTGAGCCTAATTGATAAAAAACCAGATGATATTTAAAAAATTAAAACAATATAATATTGTACAGGAAAAATTGTAATTAACTAAAAATAAAAAATATTATCCTAAATTATTGGATAAATCCCACTTAACATGTATATGTCCAAAATGTAATAAATTAATAATGTAAAAAATAATAATAATAATAAATGAATAAAAAGAAATAAGTAAAAGTATAATATTTCAAATAATTGATAGACAAATCAAATACATAAAATTCATGTATACAATACATGTGTGCAAGTGTACCGAGTTTTAGAATAAAAAATAAAACGCATTACATTTATTTAAAGTATGTTTATCCTGTCAAAAAAATTAAAACTGTTTAGGAATTAATAAATGTTTTTGTTCAAGTTAACTCTTTAAATGCATAAAAATTGATATTAAAAGTATGGATATCAAAGAAAATTTCTTTACCGAGAACAAAAATACAAATTATTTAGAAAAAAAAAATAATAATAATAAGAAATATTGAATGTTGAAATGCTAATCTTGTAATAGCAAAAATACTGCTGAATCCGAAGAAGTCGCCTGAACTATTGTCTTCTGTTCTATTTTATTGGCTGTATCGATATCTGTTGGTATATAATAAATAACATCAGAATCATCCTTTTCTTCAAAACCAATACCCCAAGCCATCAATTTATCTGAAAAAAATTAATTGTATTTAACATCAATAATAAATGATTAGCATTGAGAACAAAATGATTTGTATATTCAAGTTCAGTAGAATTTACTTACTATTTTCAGTAACTACAAAACTGTTATCTGAACCACAAGTTGCGAGTTTAATCTGAGGCAATGATGATAACACTTTGGGAACTTTTTGGTTTTCTGCTATATCCATACCCAAACGACCATCCTTATAATCACCTAATACAYATACTGCACCTATATAATCACAATGAACAAAAATTTAATAATTATAACAAATAAACCATTATTTAGAAAATAATCCAAACTAGAATAACAGCATAATAATATCTACATTTATAAAGAAGCATTTAGTTTTTATTTGTCATGTAAAATGTTTTATTTAAAAATTTCAAAGCTCAGAAATAGATGTAAATTGTCTGTATATAATGGTTTGAATACAATTTTCATAAACTCAGAAACATGTTTTTGACATCATTTACTCTTATTATAGCATTAGATACGGCTCTTCATTTTATAAAAAATATTCAAAAATTACCTAACATGAAATCTACAAATTTGATTTTAATAATTTTTTTTTCTAACAGAACTCTAAAGAAAAACTTATAGTACTAAACCAATTGTGTTCCAAGAAATTTTAATAAGGGTTCATCGTCAACAATTTGGCATAAATAGATAATAAAATTTAACACCAAATGCAAAATTATTGTAATAATAGACATCATCAAAATAAGTACATTTGGAGGGGGGAGGGAAGGAACAAAAAAGTTTGCGCACCACTAGACCAAGCAAGTTATGCAATCTACTTTGAATAATTTGGCTACAATATGAATAATATGAAATTGGTTAAACTATATCAAGGGAAATATAAAGACACCAAATGCTGACATGCCCCTAGCGTCAGCCTTATCTCTTCAACCATACACACTGTGACTTGCACAAATTTTAACCGTAAATATGAAGAAAGAAGTTAATTCATTAAAATAGTAATTGATAAAAGCACATTTGGATCATATAAATCACTCATATAATAGGTAAGTTAAATTGCAGACTAGAAATAACCAAATTAGTATAACTTATTTATGAATTAGACAAACCTTGTTCATCTAGTAAAGTAACATGCTGTGTTCCAGCTGATATAGACTTGATTTTGAGACGACTTAATGATTCAGATATTTGTGGAAAGTACACACATTTATCATCATTTTCAACACCTAATTGGCCATGAGCATTTAGACCAAAAGAGTAAATAGAAGAGTCTGATAAACGTAAAAATGTTGTATCATAGTTAGCCCAAATATCATCAACTTTTTTACGTAAATTTAAAAGTTGAGGATTTAACAGAAGTTCTGTAAAAAAAAATTATGTCATTAAAAAATAAATAATTAGCACATTATGGTAAAATTATTTAATAATCTTTTTTAAATACTCACTTTTGCCAACCCGTGAATCTCTATTGGAATGCCTTTGGCATATTCTACCGAGTTGACCTTCATCTCCACATCCCATAGTATACACTTTGTTTTTAGACAACATGACTAGATGATTTATACCAGATGCAATTTTCTTTACATGGCTCATGATTAATTTAGGCTTCAGTTGTTTTTCTCCGTTAGGTTGGAATCCCATATCACCATTTTTGTCCTACTCTCCATTGAGTTATATTAATGAATATTCTGTTAAAATTGCATTTATTATATTTGACTTACTCTAAATGTGCCCCAACTATACACATTTCCATTACTAAGAAGTATTGCAGAATGAGAACCTCCAGCAGATATACTATATATTTCTGCATCTTCTTCAGGAATCTGTACAATTCCAGGTCTAGTTTCACTATCTTCAACTGAAGTATCTCGGCCCAATGCGCCTTCATCATTACAACCCCATGACAAGAGCTTTAATGAACAATAAATTGATTAATTTAACGACAAGAGATAGGTACTTAATGACGGCAAATTACTTTTCCATCCTCAGTAACACCTAGAACATGCATACTTCCAGCAGCAATAAGTTTGAATTTGTAATTTTTCAATTCAGTAAGATTTGTAAGTTGTTCACGGTCAGGGCCTAAACCAAATAATCCGGCTACTACTATATCTCGTCCTTTGATCATCATAATACCAGATGTTTCAATTCGGTTATCAACGGCTAGAAAAAAATACATAATTACTTATGCTATATAAAAGTCAACAAATTTAAAAAATTTAGTTTACCAATTTTATCTAATATTTTTTCAGTCTTTTTACTCTTAATTTCAGTTGCTTGTTCTTCAAGCGATTCCCTTTTTGATCCTAAAATACATTTTTAAATTACTAAATTGTTATAAAAGTTAAAAACTTATACTAACTTTTTGAACTTGTCGGTTGCTGGTTTTCGGACTCTTGTTTACGTTTAGTACGAGCATTGCCATTAGTCTCAACAATTTTTTTTGGATTGGCACCTATCATACCAACATTTAACTAATAATATTCATTAAAATTTTTAATTATTTATAAAACTACTTACTTGTAGATTGTTTCTTCTCATTTCCATTTGATTGATTATTACGTTTAGATTTTACTGTAATCAGTTTATCATTAGAAACTTCAACTTCAATATTATTTTTTTGGCCTTTTCCTTTCTTCATTTTAACAGCTTGTTTACTATAAATAAATAGTTTAGAAACATTAAAAATTAAGATTTAATCAGTTATTAATCACCCATTGGTTTTTGATATCACGTCAGGTTCTGCAAGTTCATCTATATCAGTCAAACCGTTTACTTCTTCTGGTTCTCTACAAAAATAATTTAAAATGAKATTAATTTCAAATAAATTAATAATTTTAATGATGTAACATTTTATAAATTAATTTTTGTATTTTAATAATCACCTGGAAAAAAAAATAAATACTTCAACACAATAAACATCTAATCCATGGGGTATCAAATAAAGTGAAAATATATAAAATAAATATTTATTACTCAACGTGATAAAATACTGAAATGCTCATATCACAATCATTTATCATATATAACAAAAAACAAATGGTAAAAAATGTTTCTGTACAACAAAAAGAGTAGATTGAAAATAATCTATGAGATATATTTAGAAACATTACAAATGTATTATAAATACATTGAAAAATAAAATAATTTTATATGATTGTTTCAATGATGCAAGACTTATAGTAACAAATAGGTACCTTAAAAATATTTATACTTTTAAGAAAACCAAAATTTAAGATATAATTAAATCAACAATCAACTATAATAATCAGTTCAAAATAAGTATAATTATTATACGCACTCTTTTATTACAGTTGAATTATTTGGAACATCAGCATGTTCAGAAACAGTTTTTGTTATGTTCTTTGCTACTGCTTTAACTGTTCCCTTTTTTTTACCAGCCATTCTAACAGGAAAAATCTAAAAATAAAGGTTATACAACAATAAGTTTTAGTAAATAATATTAGGTAATATTAGATAAGTACACAAATTATTCATTTTGAGTTACAGATTAAGTCTTTTGGTAAAAGCTATATTCTTAATAATGCAATAGAAATGTTTAATGTTTAGCTATAACAATTTATTACTATTTTTCTATTTAAATAATATATTATAGGTAGAAATTATTATATTGTACAGGGTGTGACAAGTCTTTTTGACTAATTCCATAACTTTTTTTTTATTTTTTTCTTTTGTAATGATTTCTGGAGCTCTGCACTAATTAAAATTTTTTCTTAAAATTCAAGACAGCTATTTCATAAATAAGTATTTAAAAACAGTGTTGGCGTTTATAACATTTAATTTGGTTACATCATTGATTTTATAATAATTTTCAAAGTTCGCAAAAATTCAAATTGATTTCTTGTCAATCAGTAATTTTTAATCCTTAAAAGGTAGGTAATCAATAATAAATACATATATTTCATCATTATTTGACATAACCATGTGATACATAGATTCCATCATTATTGGTCAAACAGACCTGTTACACCCTGTAATGTGTTGCAATTGTAAAATTGAATGTAAATAATCATAACCATATAGGTATGTTGTAAACTTATGATGTTCATGGGATTTGTTTTTCACATAACTATAGAGGAGGAATATCAAAAAAAGTGATTATAACTTCAAGTATGGACACCATTTTTACATGTGATAACCTATTTATTTAACTATTAGGTAATTAGTGAATATTAACAATTTAAAATACAGCACTTAATTATGATCTAAGTACCATGCAAATACTTATATATATTGTGTAAGCACATGACATATTATTTAAAAGGTTATTTAATTTAAGTTTAAAACCATCAATGGTATTTTATACGAATAAAATATTTGTAGCAATTCAAATAACCTTATAAAATGATAAATATTACAATTAAATATCTATTACCTATATTCTTTTAGACTTTTGGTTTCAAAAAAGTAGGTAGGTACCACAACAGCGGGTATGAAGATGTCAAAGATTATATTAGGGAATTTAAATAATAGTAGATAACTGAAACAAACTAGGCAGTGGTGCACAGTAGATTTTTCACAAGTGTCGAAAATATATATCTCGCGGTACCCACCCACCCCACAAGTAAAATCTGAGTTTATACTCTTTATACAATTAATATTAAATTAAACAAATATTTATCAAAATAACATCCAAATTCACCCAGAACCAGTCACACTCACCCAGTCACCCACCAACTCTCTGAGGGGTGTCAGTCGACACCCCTGACCCCCCCCCTCACCAGTGTGCGCCACTGAAACTAGGTATTATCAAATCAAAGGCAATTTAAACTGAATGATATGAAGTTGGTATTGAGGAACAGCAGACAACTGTCATTTGTGTACAAATAATTTTCTACAATAACGTATCAAGAGCTTTATGTTTAAAATGTTCTAAAATATTCAAAATTATTAACTTATTTTAATGCCTTGAGAATTAAAATTTTAAATGTTTCAATATAATATTTTCATTCAAATTTAAGATCAATATTTTCCATTTATTAATTTGAAAGAGTATAATTAGGCGTCAAGACACAAAAATTGAAAAATATATACCTAAAATTTCATCCTTAAGTTTTGATAAATGAATGAACAAATTTGCTTGAAGGTTGTGATTAGGATTTAAATATGATAATAAAAATAAAATCTTGATTTAAAAGTTCATTTCACTTTACAAAACTGATATTATTCTTAGTATTATTTTATTAGTTGAAATACAAATACATTATTTTAGCATGTAAAATATTTGGTTTCTCGTCAAGTGTTATTTTAAAATGTCCTATTCTTCAGGTACAATTGACCAAATACCAAGTAGATGACACAAAAATATGATGCTCTTTTTAAATGAATTAGTCTATAAAGATTAAGAAACACAAAAATGATTAAAAGCACTTATAATTCAACAGTTGCTGGACGTTTTAAAATAGGCACATGACCTAAAATAAAATATAACCTATGGTATAGGTACATAACAATTACAGACAGTACAAACTAATAGATGAGTGCTAGATAAATCAACAAAAATAGGAGATTTTGTTTTCAGATACTTATGGATTTAGTTCTGGGTAAAATGTTTAGAAAAATGTCAGTCGCCAATTTAATGATTTCATAGTGAATGTCGCTTAACGAATTCGTCCCCGCTTACACTACACAGTTTTGCCGCCAAAACGCGTTGAAAGAATATACACATTACTCACTTATGAATCGACGGTGTGATCTGTCAGTTGTCGACTGGGTCAAAAAAAAGAGTTCGGTTTATGCTAATCACGCACAAATTAATATGAGGCCCAGAACTTGAAAGGCGATAGTCTAAGAAGATGTCCGTAGATAGGTAAGATGAAATTTTTTATTTCAATTTCGCGAGTTATCAAATAATTAGTGCATAGGACGTGAAAATTATGCGCAGCGGTAATGGAGGAATTTAATATACGTGTGTTGCCGTCGCGGGAAAACGAAAAAATTGAATTATAATAACAATAGTAATAGCAATAATATTAGTTAATAACTGACCAGATGATGACGACTCACGGCGTGGTAGTCGTAATTTGGACCGTTGTCCGTTTAACTGCTTAGGCGATTTTGGTGGCCGACAGTTGTAAAGTGAGGTACGATTCCGTATCTCGGAAATGATATTATTTCGTGTGCAATCTCGGCAGCAGGCGAACACCCGTTGCACCTCCGCCCCATAACCGACGCCGGTATTTTTCAGGTGGGGATTTCGTAACGGAAAACCGTCGGCCACCGTGACGCAGCAGCAGCAGCAGCTGTTCCCGCGTCTTATCAACTTATCAACATCGTGCCATAGATGATAAATATGAACCGGTGTTATCAGATCTTTTTCAACAGATATTATATACATTTATACGTCATATTGTATTTACTTTGTGATAATATTACCTGTTATGTTCCCCATGAGTTTAAAATTAAAACATTGAGTTTGCAATGATTAATTAGATTTCATTTACCATAAGGTTTACTATTTATGATTATAAATTGTAATCTATTTTTTATTTTAATGTTTTTTTAATGTATGGTCCGCCGTCAATATTCAATACCACCTTACCACTTTTTTCAGTATAAAGTATACTAACAGAGTCACGTGTTTATAGTTGAGTCTCCGATCATCCTATTTTATAAGCGATACTGAAGCTTAATTAACACTACTGCGACGATGGACGACGCTTCCATCATCAGCTCGTTGACCAAGATCAAGGTGCACAGCCTCAAACGCAAAGCTTCGTCCTCCGTTGAGTCTAAACGTAAACAAAAGAGGTTCAAATCTGATGACACGTGTAGTGAACTTTCCATGACCACTTCCGAGGCATACGGCATAAAAAAAATCACCGACGATTCAGACATAGATGATGATCAATCTTTCACCAACAAGCCTGCCGAGGTGATAGTCCAAATTTATTAATTTTACTTGTCTAGTAATCGTGGTGACTGGAATCTATAAGTAGTAGGTAGTAAATTGGTTTGATAAATGGACCTTGTTTCACAAGTTAAAGAATTGTATTAGAATTCACATAAATATTACAAATTGAGTTGCAATAATACTGCAAGAAAACATTCTGTAATAAGTACAGAATATTGCTATTTATATACCTACATATCGGTCTTAACTAGGATGCTTCTTATAGACGTTTTGATGTTACTAAATTAAAATCCATACTAGTACCTATCAAGTCGATTATTAAATTTTATGTTGGTAGGTATTTAATAATTCAGTTCTTAGAACCTATATAAATTACCATTTTATGTTTTGTAAAAATTGTTTTGGGTACCTATCTATTATTATTACTTACTATAGACTAAATATAACACCTACCTATTTCATATTTTATATTAAATCATTAAGAAAAGTTAATAAATTAAATGTAATATTTAGTCTAGTACTTATCATACTCTTACATTTTTATACAACTTATAAAATAGTAATGGATTAATAGATATTAATTATTATAATAATAAATTTAATAACTCATAACTGCACTTACAAACATAGATTTTAAATCTAAGATTTATAATTTATATATATTTTAAATGAAAAACTGTGTTTATACAACCTTAAACATACATTTCAACTCAACAAAATACTAAATATTGAAGTTTTTGAATTAATGAAAAAGTAACTAGGTAGGTATTTAACTTTATTTTTCATTAAAAAATAATCCTCACTGTGTATAGGTACCGACTTACAATCGTAATGTAATGCAAAAATTTATTTAATTTCAAGATGTTTTGTTATTTATCTACACACAAAATATGTTATTTTTATTCAAGACACTCATAAATTCTTTAATGGTTTAAGGGGTGTATTGACCAAGMATGCTTGCCACCTTTTTCCTTAAATAGTACAGTTATTCAAAATCTGATTCTTAAGAATTTTTATACTATTTGAGTAATGTCCTATGGTGATACCATTGATTATAGAATAGAGATCTATTCTATAATCAATGGTGATTCTAACTTCTGTTTTTCAAATGACAACCTTATTTTCTACTAAAAACCATTTGAAAAATTTGAAAATATTTAAAAATTCCAAAAATCAAAATTTGGGTACCTACCCATTAATTAGTATAGGAAAAATTGGAATAAGCAATGAGCATGCTTGGTAAATCTTGGTATAGGTACATAGGTATTTTTAATATAGTTAGGTTTTGACATAGGCAAGTATACCTAGTTAAATTTCCTATGATCAGAATTTGAATAAATAAGTACATAATTAAAGAAAAAATGGGAATAAGTTTCAATATTTTGCGCTCATTACGATCATGACTAGTTAAGAGGACATAACACTGTAATTTATTGTTCCTATTTTATAAGTCCAAATGTATGCTTAACATTGAACTAATATTATATATGAAACTTGATGATGAGAACATAATCTGAATAACTAACCATACAATTATTCAGTTTTAAAGGGATTTATGAGTATTTTTAATTTTTGCAATATTATGTATATAAAAATAACAAAAAAATTTAAACTGTCTTAAAAAACCAACATACAAATACAGATAATGTTCTTAAAATCATGTTTCACAATAGATTGATGATATACCTAGGTCAAAATAGAAACTAATTTTTAAACAAACAAATCTATATGCCTGCACATGATCTGCTGAGTATGAATTTGCTAGTAGTCAGAAAAAAAGCCAAGAAAAAAATCCATGGGAAAAATAAAAGTAAAATTACAATAATTAAATATATAACAATAAAAATAAAAATAATTACAATTAAATAATATATAAAAACATTAAATCTAAAGTATTATTCAACATTTTTAAACATTGGTCATATTGTATACATACATATATATATATATATATTTATACATAAAATTATTAATACACAGGTTATATGTTAATTAATTTAAAATTTTTAACACAGTTGATCATACTGTATTGTCCGTATTCATATATAAAAATAACATAATATTTTGTAGATATTATCTTGAAATCAATTTGATTTATATCTTACACCCTAGATATGTATAAGTATAATGTATATACTTTTTACAAGGTGATTCTTTTTTAAATGTACATGTTGCAGTATGAACTGCATACTATCTTGAAATAAATTAATTTATGTATATCTTTTGTTTAATAAAATCAATACATTCAATGCTATTTAGAATCTAAAATATATTTATTACTATGAATAATAAATAATAACATATAACCTTAGCTGCATGTGAATTAATAATTATATACAATATGACAAATAATGTGTAAACAAATTTAAAATTGTACCTTAATTTTAATTGTTATATATTTAATTATTGTAATTTGACTTTTTTTTCTATGGCTTTTTTTCCTACATTTGAATTTGCTACCTATGTCTTTGCACTTAGCAGACAGAGACAACAAATGCTAGTGTTATGTCCTCTTAACATGCACAAATTATAAACAAAAACTGTAATAATAAAATTTAAACTAATTTGATATAATAATAATGAACCAATGACTAATAAATTACAATAATTATACCCCCAATAATACATGTTATCTTGTTATCTTTTCTTGCAAAATTCACTATAAGTTATTGGCTATTTGTATTTATAACATTTTTTTTTGCAGTTCATAAGATTAGATACATCTCAACTGAATAGAAATAATGGAGTATTGTTTTCTGAAGATCTAAATAATGACTGTGAAGTTTGGACATTCCAATGCCCTGATGATGTAAGTAAACATTTTACATTATTAAAGCTATTTTGTATTTTCATTTTTAAATCATTATATAACTGAAAATATTGAAATAAACAATGAAAATATATTTTCAATTATACTATTTCCATTTATTTTATAATTTACATCTTGTATTTGTATATCTTTAATAAGTAATATTAAGTTTTAACTAAGAATAATCAGTGGTGTATCCAGAATTTTTTTTGTGGGAGGGGGGTTAATAAAAATGTGTTTTTATCATTTTATATTAAAATGGTATATTAATTAACATTTTGTTAATATTTAACAATTTTTAGAGAAAGGAGGAGTTTGACAACCCTTTAATCCAACTCCCTAGATAGTAGATATGCTACTATATATATTATATAATTGGTTATGATAATATATCATAAAGAACTTTTCATATCCCAACTACATCAATGATCCACTTTTTAGGTAGATCTTGTAAATCTATGCATCGTAATTAGTATGTATGACTGTGTGAAAAAAATAAAGGAGCGCTCCCGTGTGTGCTTGAACAAGTCACCTTCTCAGTGTTGCGTGCATGAATGGTAAACAATATAATATGCTCATTTGAATGCATTTATTATCCATTCTTTCATCGACAATATTTCAGATTACTAATCTGAGTTTGTTATAATATTTACTTAAAATCGGTCAGTTCACATTTTAAGAATTCTGAATAATCAACGTTTGAAAATTCCTGAATTTTAAAATATTCAAACTAAATTTATAGTTATTAAGGGGATGAAATTGGAAAAAGGGGACTAACTGATCACAATTAGACACAATAATAACTTCAAATTAGTTTTAAAGTTTATTTTCACATTACTAAATCAATCAGTATTATGTTCATAAAGATTAGTATGTTTTGGCTAAGATGACTGTCTACAATTGATCCTTTTAATACAAATGTGATTTATTCTGTTTTTAATGTTAATCAGTCAATAACTATTATTGGTGTTATGTTACAGATAGATATTAACAATCTACTTTCACAATCAATCAGTTTCAATGATATCAAAAAATTGGAAATTAAAAACACAATGTCTGATAAAGTTGATTTAATACCTTACAGATGTCAAGAAAAAACAAATATTACTATTGTGACTCCTTGTGAAAAAACAAAAGATTTATCATTGAGTAAGTAAAATATTTATATGAAGAATTTGTATTGGATAATTGTTGCACCCTTTATTATCATCACTGTTATTGAAATTATGATTTTATGCAAAATATCAGGCTGCACAATTAAATATTTTTTTTTATTTCATTAAATTTAAAATAGAAACTTCAAATTAAAGTTCATCTATCCTATAATATTTAGCTAATATATAATTTTATAATTTTTTTTGTTTTAGACGTGGTTCCTTTAGCTGGGACATTAATTATGTGTAATCGAATAAAGAAAGACAAATTAAGTAACAATGTTTTACTTCCAGTTGATACTATAGAAGATGCAACAAGAAGAAGATCAGAATTAATGTCAAAAATTACTAAAAGACTATCAAATAAATATGATATCAATTCGGTTATGAACACAGATATAAAACAAGAGTTTAAATTAGAAAAAGAATCACCTAGAAAAGTTAAAAAGAATAAAAAAAAATTGATTAATAAATAGTTTAATATTAGGTTTATTCAATTAATCATACTTTCTATTCCAAAATGTTGAACAATTAAATATTCTTATATCATATGAGTGAAAAAACATTTTTTTTTTTTTAAACTTAACTATTAATCTTCTGTATTATTAGGTGGAAAATTTGTTTATATAAAATTTAAATATATATATAAATATATGAGTTAATGATTACATTTTATATAATTTACACACAATTGATAGGCTTACTAATTACAAATAAAGTGTTATTAAATATTGCATGCTTAGAATTATAAGTTAACTATTGTTACGGGATCTTTGTTATTATTATTATTATTATCATTATTACTATTTATCTTAATCTTTAAACTAACTTCAAATTTAATAATTTTAAATGTTTTTTCTCTTAAAACAATTTTTTTTTAAAATACATTTACTAGATAATATTAACAAATTGTATACCTACTTCCTCATTACTTGATTTCTTCCATAATTTGCTAGAAAAAATAAATTGATTTTTATAATTTTATTTAAATTAAATGTTATCTTGATCAATTTAAATTAATATTCATGTTTTTTATAATAATATAATATAATTTTAAATATACAAATACATAGTCCGATCTAGAAATAAAAAAGGCGTGGGCTATAAATCAAAATTATAACTTTGTTTAACATAGAATACTAAATAGGATTTTTTTATCAATGCCTATTCTATACAAAACAAATATTAAGCCCATCAAAAATTTATTATATTTGGTTATTTTGCTAAACTTAGTTTAAAGAAATTAATACATTTTATTAAAAATTACTATTAGAGATAAATGGCTGAGGCTTAAGCTGCCTCATATAGTTAAATCCAGTTATGCATTATATTTAAATACCTTTAAAAATGATAACTATTTAAGTATTACTGGTACTGTTAGAGAACTTATTAATTATGCATTTACCTTTTGGTGAAGTAACTAATATTAAGATAAATTATAGAAGAATAGTGGGTTAGCCCCTTCTACTGCTGTAATTAATTTACGCTTAACAACTTCATGTTAAAATGTTCTATTATATTAATAAGTTCAATGACCTTGTATGTCAGAAACACTTCAAAAAAAAACTACTGCTGTATCCTTGTCTGTATAAATATGTGAAAAGTATAAGAGTCCTTAACCGATGCAGTTGTCATTAATTTAATTAATAATTAAACATACTTATTCAATGCTTGTCGTTCAATTTATTATTATTATTACTGTCATTATATGGAAATTTAAAGTTTGCTATATTAGGTAATTATCGGCATATTATTTTTGTTAGTGTTGTGGAAATGTATCCTGTTGTATAATATACTAGATGGCTCTACGGTGCTAAATTTTTTTTTATTATTTAGTGTTCATACCTATTGACTACTATTTATTTTTATTTTATTTTTCTTGCAACAGTTGACCATAATAACATTGTTTAGGGACTCACTACTTAGGGTAAGAATGTAGAATCCTAGAATCCAGCAATCCAAAATTGTAATCTTTTAGAACTCAGTAACGTTTCCAAATAGGTATTCTACTTATACGGACTATGCGTGTGTTTCTCCTCTTAAAATGTCTTAAAATGTTAATTAGGTATAATAGTTTATACCTAGGTACGAAATAAAATATTATGTTCGTCTGAAAAATCTATTATCATTTTCACTCAAAACATCATGCAAATAAATACCTATTTTTTTATACATAAGTAAAGAAATATTTATTATATCATATACATATAAATATAATGTTTAACATATTATTAAATATTATAAAAAGTGTAAATATACTCGTCATGCTCAAAGACAAGTTTCGTGACATTTTGCCAACGTCGTTCCATCTAACCATATAAGTATTTTTTAACGCTAGAAATCAAATTATTTTTAATTTATAGGTTACCTAATAATAAATCGGCATGAACACGACGTACTACGTCTATATGTACCTATAATGGGTTATGGCACGGACTATTGCCGGAATACGTAATAATTAACTACAAAACATTTTGTCTTCGTAATTCTCCAATCACCGTTTTTCACTATTTATACGTCATAAACTATAATATGATTAATAAATATTATAATTTACAAATAAAGCTTGAAAATGAGCATCAGATTGTGACGAGCTGCGACTGATGATATTTTGTTTGACTACTCAGTCTTGATTGTAATACCAACTTGTCATTTTTATGTATTAGCATATTTATTTATTTATATCAAACATTACGGGCAGAGCTCAATTACATTACAAGAGTATATTATTAAGTATATAGTTACATTTTAATATTTAAATATTAATAGGTGATTACATTTTTAATAGAACAATAAATAACAATTATAACAATAAGATTAGTCTATATAAGGAATTACATATTATATTTACCTACTTATTTATTTGAGTATTTAAATATTAATAAACATTTTCACTCACTCGCTATGGTATTATGGCGATGTTTTATAGGTATATTTAGACAAATTTTCAATTTTTTAATATTTTTGTTTTACTTGGATCTTATACACAATACCTCATGTCGCACACCTATAATATCGTTAAGTAACTTGAGAGTTGAAAACAACGATGTATGATACAAATTAAAACGATGAACGGCGATGTATTTCGCAAAAAATAGTTTAACATACTGCGTATTGGTATTACTCGTAGTATTAGTATACTATTGTATTTATAATCAATGCCAATATATTATATACAACAGAATACAGAAGCCAGTAGGTAATAAAAATGAATAATGAAATATTTTTAGAAATAGATTGGCTGTGAACACTGAACATCGTTTCTTCTTCTTCCCATCTGAATCATTGTTCGTCGTTTATGGTATATTTTAAATTTAAATTATTATAATATATCAAAATATTCGAACGTGTAGTATAACAATATACATATATATATATATATATAACTACTAAAGAATTAAGATATGATAGTTCTATGGTAATGAGTTAAGTACTTAAGTAGATTTGGAGACTTCGATGACATGATCATGTCATAGTTATTACTATTGATCTACCAATAAAAATAATTTCTAAATTAATCCAACATTAAAAATTAGGTACTTACCTACTACGTCTAATAATATACCGCGTGTTCAATTTTAAACGTAACTGGAAATATTTCGAACGCATCTCAAGGAGTTTGATTCAGAGTTTTTTAACTGCCTATACACAACATATAAATACATCTGTTTTTGATAAATTTAAATGTTTAACTATTTTTATCGGCACACGCACAATAAAATAAAAATGTCTTAAATAGGAACCACTATTTTTTAGACTGGATTTGGATTTTTCCGAGCTACTTTGATATTTACAGTTTTTTGATATTTTAAAAATTGTCACAGTAGGTACACAAGATATCAGAAATTTGAAAAGATGATCTTTAGATATTCTTAGAACATGTGCTTTTATCTAAAGAAAAAAAATAGGGGTTGCATACATAGAAAAATGCTCAAAAATCACCAAATAATATTAGGTTCTATATCGTATATATTAGGTATGTACGTATATCTATGTAAATACAGCAACAACTACGGAGAACGTCACTTATTACGATTTACGCGAGTATTGACGACTAAATAATTAATATGTTCGTCTAAAATATTAATTTAACCCATATTATGTTTCGCGTTAAACGGTTATTGCAAAAACGGAAAGTGGAAATTATATCGGGAAAAGTATGATATTATGTGCATACGCGTGTTATATAGCTTGTGCTATTTTAATCCTTCGAAGCGGTCCAATTATGGTGTTCGCATTATTATTACGAGTGTGTAGAGATAAACGTTTTTTTCTTTATACATATTATTATTATCATCATAAATATTCGTTGTAAACGCTCATCGCGTGTCTCTAGAACGCCCTCACCAAAAATCCGTATGTCGACACGCGAATAAAGTACACAAATTTGCAAATGTCGAACAAAAAAACATTAACAATATGTGTATAATACGTAATAGGCACCTCATCCAACTATTCGAGTACATATTCGATATATACACTTAAGTCTTAACACGTTAATACCAATACATTACAAGGGCAGAAGATTTGTGAAACATTTTCATATTATTTGTTTTATGCTATCGCACAGATATAGTCAAATAGGAAATAAATACGTTTTATGTTAAGTGCTTAGATAAAGATGGAATACTGATTGTATTACGAAGAGCATATTTTTAATTTTTTTTTTTTTTTGCAATAGGTATTTGATACATTTTGAAAAATAGCTATTAACAAATTTATGAATATTTTCTTAATTGCCGATTTTGTTTCACTTTTTCAAATTAAACAACTTGAACTATTTCCAAAGCTACTGCTAGTAATGAATAATTTTATATTGTTGTTAGATTTATTTTAACATCTACTAGGCCATATTATTATCGTGTGCCATTAAACATATGACTGGTTTCAATGGATGCACGAGTTATTATTAATTCTCAAAAAT